CTCAAGCCATTGATATTTTGCTTCCTGGCAACTGTCGTCAGTTTTGACTCAAAGAGATTCATAAGAATTCTTTACATGTTGAAATGTTTCTTATGTTGATGGCTAAAATTCTACCCTTCTGACCAGACCTGCATTTTCTGCCAACCTGCCCTCACTCTGCAACTACCCAGTGGCCTGCCAAGGGCTGTCTCAACATGACAGAGAAACTCATGCCCTCAGCATGGAGAACATTTTTAGCTGCTCATTTCTAAGAACCAGGAAAGACCAAATGTCTTTTTATGATGTCACCTGAGAAAACAGAGTCTTCTTGAGGTGGGTCACTGGCCTGGAGGCACACAGCCTGCAAGTGAACTCAGACGTGCCATGTATTGTTCATGAATTCTTAGCATCTACATTCAATTTCCTTCTATGTTTCCTCTCATATCAAAGGGACTAAAACTTAAAAACTACTGTTCCCCTAATCCTCATGATAAAAAATCCAGAAGTGAATCAAATTCAGCCTCTCAGAAGCACTTGTGTTTAATTCAGAAACTGGAAGGGAGATGGAGACGTTATTTCTGCTGCTGTGTTGACTGATGGGTGGCCAGCAGCAGACACAGCTTCATGTTAAGAGGCAGGAGTTTCTGTACCTCTGAGTGAGGCTGTGGTCATACGACCTTGATAACAGTCTTCCAGGAGTAACTCTCTCACATCCATTTATCTAGCTATTCAGGTGTGTACAAGCACCTAATTCCATGGGTTAAAGACTTTTCTGCATAAGTGTTCATAGCAGTGTTATATATATCAGCCCCAAGTTGGAACAATTCAAATGTCCATAAAGGGTGAATAGATACACACATTTAATGCATCCCAGGAATCAGATAGGACTAAAGACTAAAAAGAAAGAACCATGCCAAAATAATTCTGTTGAGTTAAGTAACCAAAGTCCATCTGCAATTACATATGCATGATTCAAATTTTGAAAATTCAAGAAAATGAAAATGAATTTACAATGACAGAAAGCAACTGAAAATCTCCCCAACACAAGGTTGGGGGTGGAGAGGGGCAGAATGAAGAGATTACAAGAGGGCGGGAAGAGGCTTTAAAAGTAAGGGACACGTTCATTAAACTCATTGTGACAGCTTCTCTGGTGCATGCATCTGGAAAAACTCCATATGTTGTATACTTTCCATATGTTAAGCATATTATATTCAACTATAAATATACTAAAATTACATACACACACATGAAAATGGTACTTAAAGTGCAAGTTGAATAGAAAATATAAAACTCAAAAAAGTACCTAACTCTAACATAACTTTACCTTGCTCATTTTTTTGCTTGTCCAGCAGAAGGTGGAGACAGTTCTTCACAGCCTGGAGCCTTTCCTGGGGACTGCTGACCCCACCTCAGCAGCACCCAGAGCCCAGCAAGGTTCACACTCCCCAGTATCGATCCTTCTATAGACTTTCTCCCTCTGCACACTCCCCACTGTGGAGTTCGTCTGCTCCTCCATCCAGTCGAGCATCTGCCCAACAAAGGTCAGTCCTCTGCAGGCAGCTTTTTCATATACCCTCTGATCTTAGAGGGGAAAATGGCCACTAACTCTTCCTGTCTCAGCCAAGATGTTACCTTCTCAGAAGTGCTCTGTGAACCCCAGACCAGCTGAGATACATGCTGTGTATGCACCAGAAGTTTTGGGGTTTTTCTTCATGACCTTTCCATGGTTTATAATTAATTAATTAAAGCTGTGATTTGTATGAGAGCCTACCCCAGTTACAAGGTAAACTCAATGAGCACAAGGCCCACATGTGTCTTATTCTCTTTGGAGTTTCCAGGGACCAGCCAAGAGCCTGACACATGACAGGTGCTCAGTAAATACTCATTAAACCAATAAGGGAAACTGCACAATGGGAGCTTGGCAAGCTGTGTGACACTTACAGTCAAATTATGTTCTTCCACACACTAAGGCATTGATATCAGCATGAGAGGAGGCACTGCAGGCTTGAGGACACCTCAGGTTCAGATATTTATTTCCTGTACAGTCAAGAGGTAAGAAAAACCTCCTAATTATGAAAGGTTGGTCCACCCTTTATTCCCAGAAAATCACAGCCCTCCACAGGCCCACCTTGTGGGTTTTCTTCATCATCCAGGGCCTGTGTTTTTCCTGTTCTCACAGATACCTGACCTCACAGAAACTCTGGATCCTTAACCCCTGGTAGACTTACTGCCAGGGGAGGAAGGGGCACACCCTGACCTTGAAGGAATCAGGGAATGACTTTCCATGCCTAGAATCACTGGTCTGTGAGACAGCTGCCTGTTGCTTCTGAAGATGTCTCACCAATTTCTAATGTCCTGAGTAACAAGGGAAACATTTTGTACAGGATAGGATAGGAGAACCCAGAATGTGTGGTTACTTCCATCTCAGAGGGGCTGAAGGTTTCATAAGAACCTCTCCTCCCCTAATGGAAGAACCCACAGGGCCCCTGATTGAATCACCACACCAAGCTGCTTCAGCTCCTGGGCCCTGAGAGGGGGCCAAGATCAGATGAAAGGGACAAAGATGACTTAGTTGCAATGCCACAAATGATGATGGAGACACAGCATGTTTGGGGGATCAACATTCCAGGCCAGCACCCTTTCCCAAAAGCCTCAGGAGAATATTCCCCAGGCCCTTCCTTTGAATGGTTGAAAGCAGAGAGCTCTGTCTGAGGCAACACATACCTTTGGTGGGACACTTCTTCTGTCACTGGATTCATACTACTGTACACAACTACTAACCTCTCACTGGGCTCACCCTGCACAGTCAGCATCCTGTGCAGCACCTGACATTGGTGGCAAGTCTACTGCTGAGCTCCAGGGAACAACATTGAAACACATGAAAACACAGGAAACTGAGACATGAACCTGGCTTAAGGGTTAGAGATGGAGTCTGATTTTCATCTCCTGATTCAACAGGCCCTTCTTAGGCCCTCCCTCCTGACTGCTCTGTCCCACATGGTACTTCCAGAGACTGTTAACAAAAAGGAGCTGTGCAGCAACCCTGACAAGCTCAGGGGCCACATGGCAGGTCTGGCAAGCTCAGGGACCAAATGTAAGGTAACACAATATTCTCATCAGAAATTTCTAACTGGGCAGGTGATGGCAGGTCATCGTGTCCCAGGCCTATAAACTTCATTAGCGAAGGTAAGTCTTAAGTGAGTTCTGATCCCCCTTTTTATGCCTCCTAGAGAGCGCAATTCACACACATCAGCATGATTTTTTTGTGTGCTAGACCACTACTCAAAGGCACAGACTATGGGACCAGTGTATGACACCCCACAACAATTCTTCTTACCTAGTCATCTGCATACCTTCTCTATGTCCAGTAAATATTAATTATTCTATACTCACCAATGTAAAATATTACGTTTCTTTATTTTAGACTTTTATCTAATTCTAAAGATTTCCTTGCTATGCTTTCCCTCACCTCCTAAAAAATTCCATGCACCATTTTTCATCACCTGTGATTATAATGTATAAATTAGATGTAAAAATGTCATTCTTCACAGGATTCGAGATCTGCTCTCAGCCATATGTAGTCAGTTTGCCTCAGATAAACCCATTAAATTGCCCCCAAAGCTTTGAACATTGCTTACTGTGACAGTGCCCGGAGTACCTTCACGCTCAGGGATTCTGTGCTGCTCTCTACTCCATGCCTGGCATCATCCATGGGCAAGTCTGGTGGCCACAGAAAAGCCTCCCAGGCAGCAATCAGAGGTTGTCCCAACACTCAGGGAGCCCAGGGACAGGCCCCACAAAAGGACATGGAGAGGAATGATTTACCTGAAGCCGTGCCTCCATCACCAGGAAGCCCACAGGCAACTGACCTTTCACCACATTCCTTTTTTCCTGGGACAGGCAGGACCCGTCCCACTTCACACCCAACACTGCAGCTCCAATTCCGAGTTCTGGTTTTGGTTCTTTGTCCCTAGAAGCAAAAGCCATCCTGATGACAATATGACACAGAAGAAGGGTCCCCTCTGCAGTTATCACCCAGCTTGACCCCTTCTCACCCCCAGAGTCGTCTCTGTGACCTGCCTGCTGGGAGGAAATAAAACCTTCTCAGAGAATCTGAGAACACAAAGCAGACAGGATTCCCAGCTGGGTTTCTGTGTCACAAACACAAGCGACCCCCATTTGGGGACACCTGGGGCTCTCTGTGTGGTGCTGACAGACACAAGACAAAGGCACAGCAGAGGCCAATGCTGGCCTGAGTGGGTCATTCCTTCAGGGACACATGTGCCCCCATCAGCCTTGCTATTGCAAGTGTATTTTACAAGCCAGGATTATTACCTTGTCCTAAATGCTTGTTACATGCAGAGTCACTGGTCCACTGCACCCGCCAAGTCAGAATCTGCAGTTTAACAAGGTCTGCACATTTTTCCTATGCACAGAGAGCAGGAGAAATGGGTCTACCTTCACATCAAGAGATCTAATTTTGAATGGGCATCCACACTAGCTGGACAGCTGCTGAAGCAGGTGTGTGAAGGTGGCAGTTGAGCATCACAAAGTTTACAGAGTTTCACAGCTGATTCAGTGCACAGCAGTGATGACATCATCATGACAAGTTCTTTTCCTGAGGTAGCTCAAAAATTTGTGCTCTGAGGGTCAATGGCCAATGTGAAGCAGAGAGGCTGTATGAGAAGCTACCTGGCACCTGACAGAGAGCTGTGGGGAATGTCTCAAAGCCAGCCAGCCCAGGCCTGTGCTCTTCCAACACAGCCTGTGAGTATGTGCTAGTGTGTATGTGTGTGTGGTGTGCAGAGGACTCAGCAGTACACAGAGAACTGAAACACAAAAGGACAGTAAACTGTTAAGAAGGCACAGGGTGGGAAAAATAAGGGCAGGGAGTGGGAGGGTTCTGGGCACAGACCCCACCCCCTAGCCCACATGACCAAACTAGTCATCTTGCCCCAGAATAAAGCTCACTGCACAGGTAGGACACACAGCACATCCTACCACTCCAGACAGAAGTGACTGTGAGACTAACAGAGCCTGCGACTGGTCTCAAAGAGGCAGCCACAGAGCAGACAGCAGACACCATGGGATCCCCTTCAGTCTCTACCCACAGAGGACTTGTCCTCTGGCAAGGGCTCCTGCTGGTTGGTAAGTAGGAGACAATTCCTTGGGGTAGTAGACTAAGGATGTGACACAGACACTGGCTGGAGTCTGCTGAAGAGACCACTTCTTTGAATAAGAGGGAGGGCTTCTGTTTGGACCTGAAGGTAAAAAGCAATGGAGGAGAGTAGGATAGGGAAAGGGGCTATGTCAGAGAAAAATCACATAATGGGGAAGTGGTGAGAGGCAGGGAAAACTTTACTACTGTTCATGTCCTAAGATATTCCTCATTCAGTATTGAATAGGAAGAACTGATAATAATAATAACAATTTGTCAGGAATCCATAGTAAAACACCCAAGGATGCTAGACTTCCCTTTACCACCCACCTCAGATATGTTCCAATACGCTCCATGAGGTACAGGGCCCTAGGGAAACATTGATTTACCCAGAGTGTCTGTAGCTTGTTTCAGACACTGGAGGTACGAAATCAGACAAGACCCTCTTCATATGGAACTCATGTACCATTCAAGAGAGTGAAAAGGAAAGATCTAGATGGGGTACCCACAAATGCCATGAAAAAATGGAGCAGGGGCAGGTCAGAAAGTGAAGATTGAGAGTAACCATCAAAGGTGTCCCTCAAGGACAGTCCAATGTGTCAGCCTAGGTCTGAGGGCAGTGAGGATAGGAGCCAGATGAGCACCTAGAAAGGAATATTGAAACAGAAAACATAACGAATTCTGACGTGCCCATGTAATGGTGTCCATGCCACTGACCTTGACCATGGGAGGTATACCCTCACATGCAGACCAAGGCTGAGAGGTGAAGACACTTTTTCAGGATCCTCGCCCTCATATTTTTCAAGCCTCATACTTAGATCCAAATATTAATCCATTTATTTTTCTTACCTAGTCTCAATATTAAACTACTGGTGCCCACCCACCACCGCCCAATTTGCTGTTGTGCTGACCAATGCTGCTGAAGGGACAAATGTGAGCCTACATCTCCACAATACGCCTCCCGATGTTTCAAGCTTTGTATGGTACAGGGGAGAAGGGGCAAAGCCCTATAACAAAATTGCTACTTTTGATGTAAACCAAAAAACACATGTGAGAGGGCCTGCATACACTGGGCAAGAAGAAATACTCTATGATGGATCATTGATGTTAACAAATGTCACCCTGAATGACACAGGAAACTACACTGTAGAGGTCTACCCGGGAGGCTCAGTGAGAGAAGTAAGGTTTGGACAGCTTCGTGTATACGGTGAGTGATTGCTCTCTGACCTCTGGGTGTTGAAAGGGGTGAATTCTACTCACACACAGGACTGATAATGCAGGACGCTGCCTCCATCCCCCTCTGCATCACATCCCAAGTTGGGTTTTGCCATTTAATACAGGATACACAGAGTCGAGACAAACTTCCTGAGATCTCAGTTCCCTTCCCTAAATCTAGCCCCCACAGACAATCACTGCAGACAGAAGAACCAGTCTGACAGGACATACTCAGCACAGGGAGACCAGTCTCTGTCCAGAACCCTGAGCTCCTTCCCATGACCTTCACATGGCAAACAACCCTGCAGGGCTCTGTCAAAGCCCCATCTGAGGATCCCCCAGAAATTCTCACGGAACTCCCCTCCAAAGCCCCTCTCCAGGACCTTGTCCAGGGACGTTGACTCCAGGGACCTTGGGGAGCCTGCATCAGGTTTGGTTTGATCTCTCAGGAAAGGCTAACTGGGTAATGGTTTAATGGGTACCCAAGTCACAGGTTCTTGATGTGGTCACCATCAAGGGCTCAGGTCCAAGAGCCACACCTTGGCAGAAATGGAGTTCAGTTTATCAGCTGAGCCTGTGTGTGGAGAGCAAGTTGGACCATGCCTTTTAATATTAATTAGCTGAGTGTCCTGGGAACTTAGCAAAGTTCAGGAAAAAGTCAACATCCTCATAAAAAATCTGAGAAAAGAAGATGCTCCTGGCAGCTCTTCATTCATCAGGGATCAGCCCAAGGGATTCTGTCTTGAATCCATCAGTAACAGATGCCTCTGATTTGAGCTACTCTTCTATTCCAAGATTTAGGTCAGACACTGTCAATATTTTAGTAACTACACTGACAACCTGGCAGCTAAATTTTTATCCCCCTTCACTGAGAGTAAACTCTCAGAGTCAGGGAGATACAGTTTTTTATCCCCCTTCACTGAAAGTAAACTGAGAGTCAGGGAGATACGGTCACTAAAGCAGAGTCAGGGAGACCATGAGCATCTATCTGAGTCACTGAATGTCTGTCTGTGGCCATAGCCCTGTCTTCTCCTCCACCCCTAGCCTTGGGAGGTGTCTGTGGATTCCTAAACCAACCATTCATTCAAATTCTTTTCAGTTAGGCACCCTCAGCTCAGAGGAATACATGCTGGTCTGGGGAACAAAAGGAAAAGAGAAATAATCTGTTTTTACTCTAGAAACCTATTACCTGCAATAACAATCCTAACCACTGCAAAGAACAGGCCCCCCAGATGGCTGATCCACACCTCGCTGCCCTGGACTTGATGATATTACTTGTTTTCACTTGGGTCCGTGTCACTTCCACTTTCCATAAAGGAGAGGACTTTATCTGCTCCCTCCCCACTCTACCCCTGAAACCAGCTCGGAGACCAACTTGTAACAAATACTCAGTTGCCCTTGATTGATTAGGAACAAATAAGTGGTGATTAAATGAATGAATGACTTAACTAATTAATGATTCAAAATCTCTTCAGAGCCTGGAACCTGGATGCAGATCCTTGGATTTCTGGCCATAGGGCCCAAGCTCTCTGTCCCTACCAGGACTAAGACCCTTGTCTCACACCCTTTTCTGCTCTCCAATGAAATAGTCTTTCTTGTAATTGGTCTTAGGCCTTGGGGTACAATAATAATCATAATTTTCACATGAGGAAAAATCAAGGTTTTCCAAATTTCTATCTCATAGCTACCTAACCCAAATGGCCCACAATGGTGGCATTTACGTAGCTGACTGTGGACTGTGAGTGGCTGAGATCTCTGAGGAAGCCATGTGGCTCCATGTCTCAAGCCCACTCTAAATGAGTCACTTTCTCTGTTTGTCCACAGAGCTTGTGAAAATACCCATCCTTCTAGCCACCAACTTCACAAGCACAGAGGAGAAGGATGTTGTGGTCTTTATCTGTCACACAAATGCAGTGTCCGTCCAGTGGTTGTTCAATGGCATGAATCTGCAGCTCTCAGAGAGAAAGAAGCTGTCTGAGGACCACAGAAGCCTCACCATAGACCCCATCCAGAGGGAGGATGTTGGTTACTACCGGTGTAGAGCCTCCAACCCCATCAGTTATGCTGAAAGCTGGGCCCTTGAGTTGCAAGTGCAACATGACTGACCCTCAACCCCTCTTCTTTGTTATTAAACTCTAAATAAAGTTTATTGCATTATTATAATAGACTTGTTCAGAAGGTGAATATTTCTTAAAAGATTTGCACTGAGTCAATAAATGCATAACAATGTGAAATGACATTGTCATTATTGCTGACCTAAGGTCACACCCCCACCTCAGTTTCAGCTCATTTGTGCCATGTCCACATCGGAAGGAATACCAAGTTTCTCAAACAAGGCACAGTGGTTGTGTGATGACCAAAGGGAGCAGGTGGTGAGCTTGCAGGAATCCAAGCTGTTTCCCTCCTCCAGGGAGCCGTGTACAGGGCACATGGATACTGTGTGGATAATGGAAATGAAAAGAGGACACCCAAGAGCATAGCAACAGTGACTTCTTTCTCTCTGTTTTACTTTCAAAGTTCCTAAAGTTTTCCTGAGTATTCTTTCATTCATGGCAATAGACTTACTTGCCTAAGTTCAGTACAACTCTGTCCTCCTTGATAATAGAATATAATTGGAAATGTGTATCATGTATTAAACTTTGGATCCTGTTTCCTAGTTCAGACTGATGCCCAGAGGATTGGAAATGAATTTAAGGTACATGGAATTGAGTTTGACCTCATGGGTCTTTTGGTGTCTCTCAGAAAAGAGGACATCACTCAAAGCTAGAGAGACTGCAGGTGAAATGTGAGGGCCAGACTTCTAGTCCTCAAGAACTTGTTCATACATTCTTCATAGGTGTTATAAGAAAACCTGCATCAGAGCAAACTAGGTGAATGTCAGCTCCTCTGCACATAGGTAGGTAACTAACCAGCCAAATCAACTGACACTGGCCATGTTATAGGATCAAGAATACTCTTCTTCTTCTTCTGGTTTTTTTTTTTGACATAGCATTTGGTCAATGGGGTGGTGATGTTACAGGGTGCAGCCAAGAGGGGAGACCCTAAATGGGCATTTGAAATGGGGTCCAGAACTCAAGGTGTCCAGGAGATTTTAAGATTTCTCCACCCCTTTCACCACAGGTGTGAGTTTGGGGAAGGGGCACACAGAGCTAGAACATGCAGGGCAGCTTTGCAGCTAATCCATGGCATGATCATTTTACATACCTACAGCCCTTGGCTGGTCACTTAGATATGCTAAATAGTTATGGCCATTCTCTAGGTCAGGGTAATGGAAAGGGACCTCCCCCCCACACATGTGACTGGGGGGCAGGTCCCCTGAGTTACAGTGCCTGTGTGAGAGCTCAGAGAAGATTGGCTCCATGACATGGGGTCACACCTGCCCAGACCCATGATGGCGACCAGAAAAGATGGAAAAGACAGCAGACTGAGGGCAAGTGTGGCCGAGTGTAGGAGGAGTCGGAAATGGGGCTGCAGAGGAAGATTGGCGTGGGGATTTAAACCCAGACTTGGCAGCCATTGAGGAGAGAAGCCCGCAGTTTTGGCTGAGTGGGGACTCCCATGGCCCTGGGAGAGAGGACCATGCCTTTACCAGAGTGGGGACCCCCACAGCTTTAGAAGGGGGAACCACCACCTGATTTTACCAGAGATCCCGGTGACACAGCTGAGGGTGCCAGAAACCCAGGGAAGTCTCCCAGTCAAGGCAGACTACCAACTGGGAATAACCAGAGGACTGCCTGAGCCATGGACTTCTATTTCCTTTTCTGAGATACAGTACTCTGGACTGGGCAAAGGGGGAAGAAAGGACGGTGTCTGTTTGTGGGTGTTTTTAAGAAATTTAGGATTTTTTTTTTGATGAAGACATTAGGTCACTACTTTAAGTTTGTATAGCATTAAATAAACATTTCCTTTCCTTTTCACGAATCTCTGGCATTGAGAGACTTCTTTCCTCTAGCAGCAGACATAAACCTGGGGGCTTCTTTCAGTAATAGTATATCATCCTGGGCCCCCCCGCCTTGTTTGTTCTGTAACAGTGATGGTAGTGAGAAATGTAATATCTCTGTGGAAAACTGCTGAAGCACAGCCTTCTGGGAGATGAGAGGCAGGCCACTGTTCAGGTGGGGCTGAACAGTAAGAAGATGGAGAAATTTCTTCACAAGAGCAATGAGGGAAGCTGAGACGATACACTTCTACAAGGCTGGACAATTTGAGCAACTTACACACAGCTAATGAATCACAAGGTTTTAACTTTTCTAATCAAAGACTTAGGAGCAAATGATTTACACAACCCGGACTATGCTACAACATTATCCCAGTCCAATTTTTTAAATGATATCCTAGAAAAATAAAAGTAATCACAAAAAAACCTTGATCCCTTGATACACACATTTTGATGAATCAACTTATTGAAACACGCACCTGAAAAAGCTAATGAATATGTTGTTCAAATTCCCCTTTGAGATCCTTTATTAAATTTCCACCAGATAAAGACAGAAGAAAAATCCTTGAAACAAAGGATCCATTTGGCTTTTTCCTGGAGAATGTCCATGTCTTCTATTTCTGCTTCTTTTTCTCTTAAACTCTCAAGGACTCCATGAAAGTTGCAGCCAGAATAGTAGTGGGCAGCAGCAGCATGACCCGGGCTCACACTCTAAGCCTGTCTCCAAGACAGCCTCTCCTCTCACTTTGCAGGGAGCTCACAGCAGCTGCCCTGGTGCCCCTCTGTTGCTGTGACTATCCCTGCTCCATGAGCCAGAGCACCCTCACTAGACTTACTTCTTTCTTATAACAGGTCTAGAAACCCAAAGCAGTTTCCCCTAGGCTCCCACTTGTTGCTCCTTCTACCTTAAGTCCTTCCTTCCTTTCACTGCCTCCAACTTAAATAATCATACTCTCAAACACACTTGGTTTCTTCTGAAATTCTTCCTGCCCAGTTCAAAAACCCACACACAACAATCTGACCAAGGAAGTCCCATTCAGAGCTCAGTTTCCCTGGTGGCCACAAAGAATCTCTCAGCTATATTGTACCTGTTTATAAATGACTGGAAATTTGCATCTCTTTGTAAACTGCAGGCATTAATGGAGATGCAAATTGAGTCTTGGTTGAAAGTAATTTAGTTGAGTTTTTCTCCACAGTGAAGAAAGCAGTTTTGTTATGAGCTGGGAGACTTAATGTTCCCTCACAGTCACTAACCATTAGACAGGGTTCTTCCTGCATACAGGCCTTTGATTGTTATTCATAAAAAGTATTTCTCTAGCAATGTGGTTGTACTTTGTAATTTAAGACTCTTTCTCTATTCTCTTGAGATATATATATTTTTCTTCAAATATTCTTGCCAGTGTTTTGAGTCAGAGAATATCTGTCTCAAGGGTGTGGGCCCATTTCTTTAAAATTTGTTCCGCCTGGTACCCCTGTGTCCGGGTCCCTGAAAAACAAGTATGAGACAAAGTTAGTTAGAGGCCTTTACAACGAAGATGTAAAACAACTTCCTATCAGGGTTTCATGAGAAGTTCTACTTCTCTTTTGGGTAAAGCCAGTTAGCAAAGGCAGATGCATGTGAGTCCTTCTGCCATTCTTAAAATCTCCCCAGCTTTTTGTTTCTGGGGTGCTGAGGTCAGCCTCACTGCGCTACTGCATGGTCTTGAATAAAGACCTTCTTGCCTCTTTAAATGTGTCCGCAGCATGTTGTAATTTGGCACCACTTGCCTGTAATGAGCTGATCCTGTCATCTTGCTCACAGTGTCCATCCTCACAATATCTTCTGATTTCTTTCCTTATCTAGCTACACTTCTCCAAAGAAATGCTTCAGATTTTGCTTCCTCCCTTCTGACTTGGCACCTGCAGCAAAAGATGACCTGACTGCCCACATCCTGCTAGTTCACCAGGTTGCCTTGGACTGGCTTTTGTCCCAGAATCTGAAATGTATAGGCATAAAATCATGGATGTATGAACCACATGGCATAACCATCAACAGTGTTCTCATTCTATAACCATTTTCAATGCATATTAGAAAAACAAGAACACAGGCGTTTGCAAAGAAATTCTGTCATACAACTCAATAGCTCTCATACACACACAGGTCCCTGTCCTATCATCCACCTGCAGTCCCACACTGGACAACCTTGTTTCAAGTATCCTGTGACCTTGTGCTCAGGCCAGAGATCATTGTGCTCATAGGATTTTTTTTTGTTGTTATTCTTGTTATTCTTGTTGTTTTTACAAACTCCACGTGTCTGTCCTTACTCGGTTGATACCTAGAACTTGAAAAATGACAAATAAAACTTTTTTCTTGTTCTGTTTATTGACTGTTACTTGTGGCTTCAGGGGTAGTTTGCTGAAATCCTTGGAGACCTGGCCAGAGGTGGATTGTGTGTAAGCTGAGGTGGGCATGGACAGAGACTGTAGAAACATGGGATCTGCTCAGAGTCAGGATAAGAAATTGTAAAGCCTGTAGTATTTGGGGGAGTTACACATTATATGTGTTCGAGGGTACCTAATGGGCCCTTGCAAGTGGGCTCTTTTAAGAGGCTCGAAATGGGGCTGAAAAATAATATAAGGGAGGGGCTGACCTACCTGTTCAGGGAGGAGCCACTAGAGCTGGTGAAGTGAAGGGTGGGACTACATTTTCACAGAGGTAGATGTGGATGAAGAGTGAAGCACAGGGTTTGGAGAAAGTATAATGTCTTGAGGACTCAGATTAGTGCCCTACATAGAAACAAATGGGAGCACCAGATGCACAGGCTGGCAGGTCCATGGGACATCACTAGTCCATGAGACAGGAAACAAGGAGAAACACACAGAATTCAGATTGGTAGTTTCCAGGGGCTGGGTGCTAGAGGAATGGGAGGAAACCACAGAATGGCTACAGAATTTCATTTAGGGTGATGAGAATGTGTTCATACTAGGTAGATATGGTGGCTGCAGCACATTGTGGCTACACTAAATGCCACTAAATTGTTTACTTTAAAGAAAATTAACTTTTCTCATATGAATTCTAATTCACAAAAGTAATCTGAGAAATAAACAAGACAGAAGAAAGGATGTAGATGTAATTATGTTCATCTAAAATCCTAGGAAATGCAAACTACTCTGTTGAGAAAGACAGAAGA